AACCTTATTTAATGAAATTTCTCTGGGTTGTGATATAATTTCATTCGGTTATCCAATAGCGTTCCTATAATGGATAATACACTAGATAAAATAATGCCTCATTACAAATAAGAGAAATGGCAAGGGTTGACGGAAATAACTTGGGATAATTCTTGAGTCATTCTTATTTGAAAGTATTGCGTTTTCATACTTGATACATTTCGCGATTCTCATGTTCAGATCATTTATTCTTGGCACTCAAGGTCAGGCACGTTTAATTGACAANGCAGCCCAGAAACTACGTAGATCGAAGTAGACAAGATATAAATTATTGTCCAAGCCTAAAGCAATAATATGGGTGATAAATATAATGAAAGTCCTTTTGGTCACAAAGAAAATATTTTAGTGCAGCACAATCGACCAGTACTGTAGGTATTGAAATTATTAATAATAATAGCAATGACATCAATAATAAATAAATAGGTAGAAAAAACCCAGCGATATTTACTCACGGTTTCTTTTTTCCCGTCCGCTTTTGAATATTTGCCTCAATGAAATCTTCAGCTACTTTCTCCGGATCACGCATACCGAGTTTGACCATAACGTCTTCGGTCAGTTGTGGTGGAACATCGATTAGTGAGCGCAACTTCATTTCGAAATTCTATGATCGAAAACGATATTGTCAGATGGGTGAAATGCCTAATACAATATTCCCGAATGAAAGCTAACGTACAACATGAGAACGAAAGTATATGAATTTAGGTATTCAGTATGAATTATGGGAACCCGGGAGGAAAATAGGCAAAACAGTTGTTTGAATGCAGAACCAAGCTTTTCCCAGACTAAACGCTTTATGCTGAACATTAAAAAAGTAAATATTGCCAGACCCCGCTATGAACTTCACTAGCTTTCGAAATCCTCAGTATGGTCGCGGTGGATGTCTCAGGTTCCGAGCGATTACCCTTTCTTAGCATTCCGCGAAATGCTCTCATACGACCAGTTGTTTCAGATAGCCCCTGTTAAGAAGTCTGATTGACGACCTTCTCGTTGCGGTGTTTTCGCACCAAAGTGAGGACGAAAAGCCAACGTACGGTTGAATCATCAGTAGTCCACCTTGGGAATTTGGCTGAAAACTTGGGATCCAAACCAACCGATTATGAATTACCCAAGAAAACTTACAAAGTGTGACCTAGAAAACTCAACAGTATCGTGCTCACGAGCATATCATGGAACTTTTTCTTTTAATAAATACAATTGGACTGTGATTTGTTTGGCACCTAAACATGTGAAAATATATGAACTGAAGTATACGCAAGGCGGAAGCCATCGAGATCATGCATGTTACTCCATGGTAAGAAACGCCTCGTAGATGTATCAATTAAAGCCGGACCTAGACTCCGTTGAAACATTTTCACGGCATTTTATTTAACATGCTTAGATTTGTCGCTAACCACGGAATGAGAAAACTTACGCGCAAATGATCATCAATTTCCCTTTGGCTGAACACCAGTGTGGGGGCACGACCGCTGGGTAGCGTTGGATTCAGTCCGCGATCGCCTCGAGCGTGCAGTATGCCGCAACGATGTGGCATAAGATCTTCCATCGGATATACTGCGCCGGCATAATAATCAACAGAGTGAACTATGCGTAAGTAAAGAATCAGTCGATCCAAGACTTTTGCAAGAGAATGGTCGGATTCCAATATAACTGATTGACGTCCGGAATTCTGATTCTCGGAGGCACCTTCATTTTCTGTTTGGTTTGATTCCGCTAAAATTTCAGAATAAAGAGGCAGATGAAGGGATTCTAGGAATATACTTTCAGGGCCAGCAGCGTCTAACTCACCCAGGAAACATGAGTTATAGTATTGA